AAATAAATACAGATAAATACAAACTTTAACAAAACAAAATAAAAATCAAAAGCCAAAATTTAGAGTTTATAAAGCAGCAACCAGCAACAGCAGTAGATACAAAAAATCAACTACTAGAAAACAATATTTTATTTGTTTTTCGAAAATTGTTGTCTGTTAACTATATATGAAAAGTTTTTCTTTATTTTTATGTTGTTTTGCAAGGACTAATGAAGCCATAAACTAAAAGGAATGACACTAAAAATAGGAAGAACAAGGGAGGTATATGTAAACATATTGGTTTGGTTTCAATATTTGTTTTCTGGTCCTGTCCTGTCCTGTCTTGTCTTGTATTTATTTTACACAAGCTTTCTGTAAATGTTTTGGTATTTATATTTGTCTTTCTTTTATTATTTTCTCAACTCTAGTATTTGTTTATTATGTTTAGGACATTTCTTAATTGATGTTTTTGCACACAAAGATTTATTTACAGCAAAAAATAAAAAAAATAAAAATACCCAAATGTTAATGGATAAATATTACAGGAAAAACTTTTGTTAGCAAAACATTTTTTCCTATTTCCACTCCTACACCTTTAGATAAACAATTCTCAATAAAATACAATTTACTTGTATGTTGTTAGTATAAATAAAATAAATAATTTACAATTTCTATATTTGATTTTTTGGTTTTCTTTTAATTAATTTATATTGAAATGAAGACAAAAGCTAAACAATTAAATATTGAGAAAACACCTTGAAGTGTTTAGTTTTGTTGGCAATTTAAAGAATTTCAATTTAACAACTAAATAAAATATTACAAGGAATTTTATTAAATTGTATAGGAATTAATATTAATCATACGTTATGATGTCCCAAACAAATAACTTTAGAATTTTACCCAAACTATACTCAAAACTTACAGAAATTGTAGTAAATTTAAAAGAAATGAATTTGATTCTTAATTAGGAATAAATATTAAGTAGCAAGTTGAACTTAAAGCTGAGTAAAAGACCCTAAAAGTATTAAGCATTTTGTAGGTTTCAGCTGAACTCTTTTAAGGACTTGTAGCTGAAAAAAATTTAGCTATTTTTTATAGTAAAAAGCTTTTGATTTTAAATTAATTTCTACACCCTTGTTTTGTACCTTTTACTCTTTCTATTAACATGTCAAAAAAGTAGATTTTTTTTTTGAATTTCATAAACAATTTACTTGCAATTCAAAAAACGATTTTTGTAAAAGCAAAAAACCAGCTTACAACTCCTGCTGACCCCGGCCAAAATAACAATTTATGAAAAAGCAAGCAACAATACGCCTGGAAGCAGGCAACATTGTTTTTTTTTCTCTCACATAACGCGAACTTATTTCAACTTTAAACGGGTAAAAAATGTTTTCAGTTGCATTAAGTTTATGAATACGTGGGAAAGCAGTAGGTATAAATAAGAGTAAGAGCAAATGGTATGAGATGAGGTGGTACAGTATTGTCATTGTAACCCCAAAGGCTACAACAGCTATGGCAAACAAACAACGTTACACAAAAAAAGAAAAAATAATATTGAAAAAATGCAAAATTTTATTCTTTTTATAAAACTGTTGTTGGCGGTTGTTTAACGCGGAACAACGTTGGAAATTACATTTCCATACTCATTTTACCGGTTTTTGTTTTCTTCACTTTTTACGCTTTTACTGTCCTCATTGTCCTTTCAAGCCTGTAAAAATCTTTTCTGCTATCGAAGGGAGTAGCAAAAGGTGGGTTTGTTATTCTTTTTTTAAGCTGCATGGACATCATGTAGATTTTTTTCTCTTGTTGCTGTTCATTTTTAACAATTTCAGTTCTTTTATTGCGTTTGTTTCTCTGTTGTTGTTTTTTTTCACAAAATTCAACATACCGAGATTTTGGTCAAAACGTTTGAGGCCATATTTGTATTTACGTAAGCAACAAAAAAAAAATCCCCCAGCCAGTTTTATATCCATACAATTTACTTAAATATTTTTTTATTTTTCATGTAAATATACAAGTTCGTATATAAAAAAAGAAACGTACGAGAAAAAGGTTAAAAACAACAATAATACCATGTTGATGACATTTTTATGATGAGCTACAGTTAAAGAAAATAAAAGACAAAGTTTTCTTTTTAGTCAATTTGAAAAAAATGCTGAAAAAAGGGACATGACAACAGAAAAATATAAAGTTAAAAACTCTGGAAATTACAATTAAAAGCAAAAGATATGGCTTAAGTTTTATTTCGCAACAAATAAAAAGTAACAAAAATTGTTTAAAAAAAAGGCTTTTAGGTAAAGTGTTTCACAGAAGAGGGAATTTTTTAACCTTTTTAATACAGTTCCAGTCCAGTTCTAGTTCTAGTTCAGTTCTAGTTCAGTTCTAGTTCAGTTCTAGTTCAGTTCTAGTTCAGTTCTAGTTCAGTTCTAGTTCAGTTCTAGTTCAGTTCTAGTTCAGTTCTAGTTCAGTTCTAGTTCAGTTCTAGTTCAGTTCTAGTTCAGTTCTAGTTCAGTTCTAGTTCAGTTCTAGTTCAGTTCTAGTTCAGTTCTAGTTCAGTTCTAGTCAGTTCTAGTTCAGTTCTAGTTCAGTTCTAGTTCAGTTCTAGTTCAGTTCTAGTTCAGTTCTAGTTCAGTTCTAGTTCAGTTCTAGTTCAGTTCTAGTTCAGTTCTAGTTCAGTTCTAGTTCAGTTCTAGTTCAGTTCTAGTTCAGTCTAGTTCAGTTCTAGTTCAGTTCTAGTTCAGTTCTAGTTCAGTTCTAGTTCAGTTCTAGTTCAGTTCTAGTTCAGTTCTAGTTCAGTTCTAGTTCAGTTCTAGTTCAGTTCTAGTTCAGTTTAGTTCAGTTCTAGTTCAGTTCTAGTTCAGTTCTAGTTCAGTTCTAGTTCAGTTCTAGTTCAGTTCTAGTTCAGTTCTAGTTCAGTTCTAGTTCAGTTCTAGTTCAGTTCTAGTTCAGTTCTAGTTCAGTTCTAGTTCAGTTCTAGTTCAGTTATAGTTCAGTTCTAGTTCAGTTCTAGTTCAGTTCTAGTTCAGTTCTAGTTCAGTTCTAGTTCAGTTCTAGTTCAGTTCTAGTTCAGTTCTAGTTCAGTTCTAGTTCAGTTCTAGTTCAGTTCTAGTTCAGTTCTAGTTCAGTTCTAGTTCAGTTCTAGTTCAGTTCTAGTTCAGTTCTAGTTCAGTTCTAGTTCAGTTCTAGTTCAGTTCTAGTTCAGTTCTAGTTCAGTTCTAGTTCAGTTCTAGTTCAGTTCTAGTTCAGTTCTAGTTCAGTTCTAGTTCAGTTCTAGTTCAGTTCTAGTTCAGTTCTAGTTCAGTTCCAGTTCAGTTCTAGTTAAGTTCTAGTTATGTTCTAGATTTATTTTCATCTTTTATTTGTATCACAATTTTTGCATAAATTTTCATGTTTATTATAGTTTTTTCTTTAAAATTCCAAACTTAGATTTTTCAACTTAAATTTCTTATGTATAATTTTTAAGCCTTAAACTAAAACCTAAAGAAACTTTATTTTTTTTACACATGTTTATAGGTTTTTGATATTTTCCCCCAAAGGACAATAACTCTTGATTTAAATTATAGGCTTTCGAATACAAACAGCAAGTAGTAACAAAAAAGAATGTTGAGAAAAAAAGAAACTTAATAAAACATGAAACTAAATGTAAATTTATGGTTGATTTGAAAACAAATAAAGTAACAAATATAGAAAAAGTTTTGAAGAAAGTAAATTATGATTAAGCAAATGATGATGAAGGCAGAAGTCTTTAGTAAAAAAAGCTTCGGCTATCATATAAAACCTAGAAAAAAGTTAACAAAAAACTTGATTTTAAAATTTTCGAGAAATTGTTGAAAAATGGTGGAAATTTTAAAGTTTTCTTAAAAGTTTTTAAAATCCAAATAGTTATGTTAAATTTCTTAAAGTTTTTCGTTTAACTATGTAGTGTATTTTATACAAAAATTAAACAAATATTTTTTACTAGGGTGGCGTATGATTAATATTAATTAAGAGGTTAATAGACAGTATTGTTAAAAATTAGACTAATTTAAAAGTTGCAAGAAAATTTCAAAGAGATTTGGATGGCTAACACTTCAAGCTTTAATTGCAATATAAAATAATTTATAAAAATTCTTTTAATAATTAAGAAATTTACTTATGATTTAGAACTTTTGAAAATAGAAAATAAAATTTTATGAAAATCATTAATAAAAATTAGGGAAAGTAAGGCTGCGAAAGAGTTTATCAAAGAAATTAGTTCTTAAGAGTTATCTAGAGAATTTTTTCCTCTAAATTTTTAAAATTTTAGCTTTAGAAATTTTCATTTGTGAGGTATTTTTAACACAACATTGTTGCGATATTTTTGTTTATAACTTTTTTCACTCTACATTTTACATCTATTCATTTAAGCTGTTTGTATAACAAAAACACTTGAAAACAGCTACAGAAAAATAAAATAAAATAAAAAAATAAACAACGAAAACAATCATTTCAAAATAAACAATGTATCATGAGTAGAATTGAATAAAAAAAAAAAAACTGGAGAAAAATAGAACTTATTCAAGTGTTAAAGTACTTAAAACTGTTGTATAATTTTGTTGTATACCAGTGACTATACAAAAGCTTTTTGGCAACAGTTAGTTGTTAAAAGATTTTGTTTATATTACCAAAATGAAAACAGGCAGCAACAATATTATTTTTCAAAAAAAGAAAGAAAACTGAATTACCACCCACTTTCAGACTTTTTAAAATATTTTTTTATATTATTGTTTATTTAAAATGAAAACAACATTATACAAAAAAAAATTAAAAATACATCAAATGCTTGACAAACTAATTGAAATTTAATTCCTTGAAATTTGTAAAAAAAAAACATGAAATTGTAATATTTTTAAGCTTCACTGGTTTTAAGTGTAATTATAATATTTTTTTCCACTTTACTAAATGCTAAATTAATTTATTTTTGTTTTTATATTATGATAAAATTTAAATATGTCTGTTTTTTGTTTAATATTTTGTAAACTGTTTTTTTTCTGTCATTTTAGGTTGTGCTTTTGTGAAATTTAGTTCGCAGCAAGAGGCTCAATCAGCCATTACTAATCTACACGGCAGTCAAACTATGCCGGTAAGTTGATCAAATACAAAGTATTTTTTAATTACTAGAATACGTATTAAGATTTAAATATATTGATAAGAATTGAAAAGTGCTTCAAAACTGCTAAATAAAAACGAAATGAAGGCGTTATATACTAAAAATCATTTTTCATGTGTCCTGAGAAAAATTGGTATTTAACTACATTTTAGTCTGAAATTATGAAAAAAAGTTTTATATTTTTTGAAATTTTTTCGAATAAATAATTGTCAAACCTACAATAATAACACAAATGCTACCAAAATTGTAAAATGGAAGACTGGTGCTATTCTTAATACGTACACATAAAAATCTGTCTTAATGGAGGAAAACCTTAAGAGTCCCTCATATATCCTTTTTTTGAAACTGGACAAAAATCAAATTTTAAAGACAGAAAAATATAACAGAAAGACTTAATAGTCGAAAACAAGAAAGTTAGTTTTCTATTTGTAAATTTTTCTTAAGAAAATATGCTTTTAACTCTATAAAAAACTATCAGAAATACACCAAAATAATACAAGGGAAAGCTTATACTGTCCTAAAGACGTAGTTATAAAAATCTTTTATATTGGAGGAAAAACTTAAGACTCCTTTATATATCTTTTTTTTTTTTTTTTTTTTTTTTTTGAAATTTGACAAAATACTTATTTTAAAGGCAGAAAAACATAACAAAAAGTCTTAAAAATCAAAAACTATAGCGTCAGTTTTTGATTTTAAAGAACTCCTCAGAAAACTATCCGAATGCCACTAAATCCCTGAAATGGGAATCTTATACTCCCCTGCTTAAAATTTGTCAAAAAATGTAAAACTAACATTTTCTTGAAGTCGTCAAAATGAATTCATTTTCAAGTTTTTTTTTTTTAAATTTTCTACTGAACATCAGTTTCATGTTTCGAGGTTCAATATTATAGAAATAATCGCAGATATCTGGGGTTTTCCAAAAACTGTTTTCAACATACACACGGACAGACAGACAGACGGACAGACATGGATAAATCGACTTTGCTATTTATAAGGATCCAGAATATATATACTTTTTACGGTCGGAATGACAAACGTAAACACACATATGTATTTCGCGAAAGAGAAGGGCATACAAACTAAAATCTTTTTTTTATATTGGTGGCGTATGATTAATATTAATTGAGTAATTATTTTATATAATTGTTTATAACTTTGGTAAATAGAAAGCTACAAGAAAACTTTTTTATGATAATGAAAGCTAACACTTAAAGCTACATTTACACTATAAAATATTAGATACTCACCTAAATAAAATATTGTATAAAACTACCAGCAAAAGCAGCAACTGAAAAAAAAGGAAAAAATAAAAATTATTAAATGTTTAAAGAAATTTTAGGAAAAATTAAAAAACTACATGAAATGAGTTCAAAAGAAGATTTTTTTAACAGTATTACTTGAAAAAGTCTGACGCATTTTTTAGCTAATCTCTTAACAAATTCAAATCGCCCTTAAAACCTAAACATAAGCTTTTCATCCCTGCTGTAAATATAAATTAATAAAAAAACAAAATTTAAATTGTTAAAATGTTAATAAGGATTTAAATAAAACAAACAAATTTAAACTAAAACCACAAATATATAAACCATCAAATAAGACATACTTATTTGACAGGGTACTTAAAAGACATCTAGTCATTTTAACAAACAACTGTCGTGTTAATTTAAGTTTTATTCCCAAGACAAGACGTTTAAAATGAGGCCAAACAAAATTTTGCCAAAGAAATGTAAAAAAGAATTTATTTATTTATGTTTTTTTTTTTTGCTGTTTTTCGTTTATAAAATTTGCATGACACTCAAGTTATTTTGCACGTAAATTGGTTTTCATCATCTTCGTTGCTTTCACATCACAGCAACAACAACAACAGCCAGAACAACATCTTTTGACACAGGGCGCATACAATTTATTTTCAATCTACATCTCTGGCGTTTTTCTTTTTTATTATTTTCTTACATTTACTTACTTTGTCATTGTTATACAACGTAGATTTTTTTTTGGTTATTTAAACGAAGGTACCCAAAAATAAATTTTATATAAAGTTCTTCTTGTTGCCAAAATCTACTCAATTTGATTGCATTGTAAAGTGCTAAAGAAAGATGTTTTTGGTTTTTTGTTGTTTTTTTCTCAATTATTTTTGTATTTATTTTTTTGTTTATTTATTTATTTGTTAAAACACTTAAATTAAATGAAAATAAATTGATTTATATACAAGAAAAAGTGATTTTATAAAATAAACAAAATAGGCAGAAGGACGGACGGACAGTTTGGCTGTAAAGCAGTTGGCAAATTAAAAACGCTTGTTACATTTGGAATAGAACAACAAGTATAAGTAAATATTATTAAATAAATAATACAAAATTTTAATTAAATTAAATAAACATAGAAATTGTTTAAACAATAGCTAGAGAATCTGTGAAATTTTTAGATTTACTTATAATAAATAAACAAATAGTTTATAAATTAAAATTTGTTCAGATTAAAGCAAATTTTAACAAATTTATAAAGCTTTTGTAAGAGATAAATTAACTTGTTTTGAATGTTAATAAATTTCTAAAAAAATTTTCCACAAATTTGCAGTTTTTAGCTTAATAAACTAAAATGAAAGTTTTTTTACAGGGGGCGTATGATTAATATTAATTAAGGAGTTATATTAGAAAATTTGCTATAACTTGGTTAAATGAAAACGTAAAAGAAAACTTTTAAAGGTTTTTAAAAGCCAACATTACCGGCTTAATGGCTAATAGATAAAAAATGAACCTAAAATTTGTTTGAACTTTAAAACTGCTTTACAATGTAGGATAATTGTAAACAAACAAAAGCAAAATTTGTTAAAATTTCTCAAATTAAGTTAAAAATAATAGATAAAACTTTAATTTGTTAAATATTTTGTTTGTTTTAAAAAAACTTTTGTTTTATTTTATTACAATTAGCTTTGATTTTCTAATATTTACTTTATTTTTCATTCTATTTACAGCTTTAAAACTAGAGTATTTAAGTTTTTTATAAAACAGCCCTCTTTTTAAATTCCTTTTGTCCATAAAAACCATAAGCTGCTTAAGCAAATGTTGTTATTTTAAATAAAAAGTTTTTTGCAGTTTATTTTTAATTTTTTTAATATCTAACTTGGAAAAAAACCACTCATTAAAAAGGAATTTTTGTGTTTTTGTAAATATTAAAATACAATGTAAAAACCTATAGTTTTCTTTTTTTCTTTCATTAACCTTTTAAAACTCAGGGGAGAAATCATGTTATAAACAATATTATATATTTTTCCATTATAAAACGAAATAAATATGAAAAAAGCAAACATTTAGCAGCAGTAAAAACCCGTGTTAAGCTCTTAACACCCAACAAAAGAAAGGTAGCAAAAACATTAAACGTAGTAGTACAAAAAAAATTTTAAAAATAGCAGTAAATTATAAACAACTATAGGTATTATAAAGTATTATCAATTAAGCCTTAAAGTAGATACCGGAAATTTTTTTTACTTTTAAATAAATAAAATTTTAATATTTTAATTACTTTTTCTTTTCCTGCTTTAATAACAAACAAAAGTTTAAGCTTTAAAGTTAAATGAGAAAAAAACCAACTGACTTTAGTAAATGTTAGCCTGTTTTTAGCAGCTTAAAAAAGTTACAGCTTATTAATAGAAAAAAATATTTAAATAAAGCTTTTTGTTAGCTTAAAGAGAGTGAGTAGTCTATGAAGTTTTGTGTGTTTTCTTTTCAATAATTGTTGAAAACTTTTTCTGTTTGTTTTAGTGTTTTCAATTGTTGAACGGAAGTGCTGTTGTGGCAACTTCCGTTTTATTCAGGTTTTTTTTTTTTTTTTTTTTTGTTATTTATTTCAAAGCAATTTTTGTTTAATAATACTTTTGGAAAAAATAGAATTATTATTGAAATTTCCTTTTATATGTATTAAAAAAACAAGTAAGAGTTTTATATTCCACTGTGCCGAATCTTATATACCCTTCACCATGATGTGTTAAGAAAAACAGTCAGTATCGATTGTAAAACAAAAAAGTACCAGAAAGTTCCCTTTTATAGATTCTCATTCTATGAGGGTGCGGCGTGTGTTCATAAAAGCCAAAAAGTACTAGTGATAAAACGAAAAAGTACCAAAAAGTTCAATTTTTATATTTTCATTTATTCCTGGATCTACATGTCTAATTTTATGTTTCTAGTTTCAATATTATAGAAAATCCAAATACATTTTGAAGAACAAAAAAGTACCAAAAAGTCCCCCTTTATAGGTTCTCAGTTAGTCGGAGCACTACACGCTTAATTTCTTCAATATTATAGAAATTTCAAAAAATGCCTTTTGAAGAAAGAAAAAGTACCGAAAATATCCTTTTATAGGTTCTCCGGCCTTTACATGCTTAATTTTTAGTTTCTATTACGGTACTTTTTAAATTATAGAAAATTGAAAAAGTACCTTTTCAAGAACGAAAAAACACCATAAAGTTCCCTTTTATAGGTTCTCACTTACTCCGGATTATACATGCTGAATTTCATGTCTCTAGGTTCAATATTATAGAAAATCCAAATACATTTTGAAGAACAAAAAGGTATCAAAAAAAGTCCCCTTTTGTAGGTTCTCACTTACTCGGGGCTCTACATGCTTAATTTCAAGTCTCTAGATTCAAAATTTTAGAGAATTAGAAAAGTACCTCTTGAAGAATGAAAAGGTACCAAAAAGTCCCCTTTTATAGATTCTCACTTACTCGGGGCTCTACGTGAAACACGAAAAAGTACCAAAAAGTTCCCTTTTAAAGGTTCTTAGTTAGTCAGGGCTCTAGATGCTTAATTTCGTGTTTCTAGGTTCACTATTATAGAAAATTCAAAAAGTACCATTTTAAGAACGTAAAAGTACCAACAATTCCCATTTTATAGGTTCTCACTTACTCGGGGCTCTACATGCTTAATTTCATGTCTCTAGGTTGAGTGTAATAGAAAATTCAAAAAGCACCTTTT